TGTATTCCAGCTCGTCCGAGTGCTTACTAATGTCGCGGGCACTCAAACAGATCACAAACCAGACCACACAGTGCTCACTTTCAGATTCTTCTCCTGCAGCACGGATACAGAACAAGAGATGGTGAGTCTTTATCAAATTAAAAATCACTATTGTGGGGCTGGTGACACTATTGAACTGTCTCAAGAATTATCTTGTTTCTTCCAGTATTAAATTTGGATTGACAAAATAGACTCAAAAGTACAAATAACTAGAACTGATCTCTTATGATTCCTGTACTTCTCATTTCACAACATATAAGTGCAGGAAGAAAAAAAAAATCATTGTGTTCATTTACTTCAGCCCTGGTTTTGACAGCCTTTTGCTCCAGACAAACTCTGCAGAATCTTACTCTGGTCTGAAGAGTCTTGGTGCAAACCCAGTGAGCCATGGTCATTAATCCTGAGAAAGTTATAGAGAAATTTCTCCTTACATGTCTTGATCTCAAAGACCACAGATTTGTTCGATCCACACTGCCTCTGGTTTAAAAAAAAAAAAAGAAAGTAAGAAAGAAAAAAGACTCAAAAAAGGATGAGGAACCTGCTGGAAATTTACTGAACTGTGCCCGCACCAAGCTGTTTAAGCTTGCCATGATTTCAACAGGGTAAGACATATTAAAGTTTTTTTTAATCATTAAATATTAAGCATAAAAACAGTCATACAGCAGTTAGTTTTGACTGAGTAATCTGCCCAGACAAGGAGCCTTCCATAAGTGCTGATGATAAGTAAAAAATTTTTGTCTAGTTTGGGGTTAGTATCAGCCAAGCAGCTGAAAAAGATGTCCTGTTTTTACATTTACCACATTAAATATTCACAAAACTGATAAAATTAAAGTCAGCAGGATGACACTTTAAAAATAAAAAATAAAATAAAATTGAGCATATTAAGAACAAATTAGGCAAAACCTGCTGTGCCCACAGGGGGCGCCAGAATTGACACATTAAGAGTTCTTCACAAGACCTTCAAACAGAACATGCCAGACTCCTTTTCCCCATTGTTTTTCCACTACTTAATGCATCATGTTCCAAGTGTGCTGTTGTACTGCAGTGAGCTGTGTCCATACATACATGCTTGCATTGTGTCCTCAGGAGTAAATGCAACTTTTTTCTCCAATAAGTCCAGAACTTTTTTTTCTAGTCGTGCTCCCTGTGATGAAGGAGGCTCTGTGTTTCCTCAAGAAACAAAACAACATAGTTTACCATGGCCTGTTTCTAGCTTGCTCTGTCGATCAGTTTAAAGAAGTGTTATTCAGAGGAGAGATTCCATTGTGGATATCACAGCCCTCCCATGTATTTAAAATCCATTATAAGAATCCATAACAACTTGACTGAGTAGAGATATATCTCATAGTGTCTGCACTGTGAGCCAAGGCATTATTGTCTGCTCAATTGTTGCATATTATAAGCCTTCAGTCATTTGCGGCCTGAATCTAAATGTGGTTTTAAGGCCTTGCAGGAGGACTGAGACACATTTCAACATCTTGAACTGAAGCAGGCAAATGTTCTTCTGCTAAATAATGCATTGCAGCACATTGTAAAAATATGTGAATACTTCTTTGAAACTCTGAATTACTTTTCATGCTTCAGGAAATTAAGATTCTAAGATTCATTAGCAAAGGCAGAGCAATCGTCTTGGTTCATAATGAATACATGAAGAACCAAGAACTTTTTATTCTCCTGACTTCTAATGCAAGAATTCTATAGCCCAGCAGCTTTGGTGCATTATTTTGCATTTCTGGAGGAAACATTGCCAAGGCTGTGTATGTGTGTGTGTGTTTCTGACAAGAGTTGGTAAAAGTCATGTTAGACTTTAAAACAGTTTTTACCCACTCATAAAAATCCATCCAGCCTTAGGAAACAATTTATTCCAAGGGCACAAATATGAAATTTATATGAGGATTCACAAATACTCAGAAAACTTGCTTCTTCAATATTTGTGCTTTACTATGAGGCCACTGTAGCTAAGAGGTAAAACATGTCATCAAGCGATGATTAAAGTTAAATCCCTTGCCTCTTTGGTACATCTGTGAGACTGCGCTTAGGTAAAATCCAAAGTTTCATAAAGGTAGCGGACATCATTGTGAAATCTTTCTGGGAAAATTGCTTTAATGATTACAACACGGAACCAACATGCTATTAATTAGGCCGCTGATAAGATACAAGTCGTGCAAAATGTGTGAAGTGTTAGCTGGCATCCATGTCATTAGAATTCCTTGAGGACTTTGCCTTTGAAGCTCCTGTGAGAAACTTGTGATTTGTGTCAACTTTGGCACCCCCTGTGGACAGAGCAGTCTTTGCTTGGCTTGTCCTTTACAAGCTTAAATAATGACTTTTCACATTTAATTGTTTTGAAATCATTAAGTGTAAAACTGAGGAGAAATTTCATGAGAAAATTGTAGAAACTGAGCTTTTTTTTCAGCTGCTTTGCTGACACCTACCCCGTACCCTCACAACACTTTCAGGCTTTGTAAATTAAGACATAAACATGATTAATCTTGCTGCTGGTGGTCTTGTTTACTTTTAGGTATCATAAAAAGGCATTGGTATGGATTCCATTTAACTTAATTCACTTAAAAAAAAAATCCTCACAGGAGCTTTAACTACATATTTCTCTGTAAAAAAGAGGATGCTAGTTCGCTTTGGGTCCACTTCACACAACAAACCAATTTCTGTGTAATTCCAATAATTGCTGAAACATAAGGACCTCCTACACTCTAGGCCTGTCCTGATGTGCACAAAGGAAAAAGACAGTAAGCAAAAGCATGTACCTTCAGATTGTATAAGCCATAAAATGTGATGCTAAGAGATCTTTATATTTCCTTTGACTCTTTCAGTTTCCATCCATACTATATCTCTAACAGGTCATCTCTGATGTGCTGACCAGCAGTCCAGCCTTGGCCCTGGAGGGAGGAGGAAGAGGAGGGGGGCAGAAAAAAGAAAGATCTTTGAAGTAAAACAGATCTCTGTCAGCCTCAGCGCTTCTACAAAGATGGATGGAGACGGACAGCAGGTAAAGGAAGAAAAGACCATTTTCAAATGTGCGGTTTGTGGTTATGTGTGTTTTAAAAGAAGGAGTTGAAAGCATGAGTATGTGTGTCTTTTGGGTGAGGGTTCTTTGCTTCGCTGTGCACACACATGACTACACACACATCCACACGCACACATGGGAATGGTGATGTGGAGATCCTTCATTGAGCACGTCTCAGGCTCAGCCAAGCATTCAGTCATCCCAGTGACCTAGAAATGAATGACACTACAAACAAAAGCTGCAGCAGCTCGACTCGTTTCCCCTGAGGTCCATGAATTCTTGTGTTGAGCAATCAGTATGTAAGAAACAGGTTTAGATGAGATCAAAATATTGAGTCCTCTGTCTTAACACTAACATTGTTTGAAAACTTATTAAAGTCCTGAAAGTCGTGAAAACCCTCAGAACCAATTCAGTCAAAGAGAGAGTATGAGCAACCTTTGACTTGGTCCTTTCAAATCAATCCATATTGAGTTTGACACCATAGTGATGGGGGTGATTGTCTGCAATAACAAGAGGGCTGAGGCAATGCAAAAAGACTGGAGACCTAGCCTTGGAACCAGGTAAATCTGCAGTCTCACATGTGTAGACCAATAAACTGCCACCTCAGACAATTGAAGAAATATGGGGCTGCTTAGGGTCTTATTTTATGGTTGCCTCTGAAAGCTTTCTACGATAGGTGCTATCAGCAACAAATATAGGGGGCTGTGCTGCCCAGGGCTGCAGCATCGTCCCATCTGATCAACAGTATCATTTCCACTGTACTGGTCTCAGAAGGAGAAGGAAACAGACAAAATACCTGCTCTCAAACAGCTTCAAGCTTAAGGGAATAATCTTCTGCACTCTAGTTTTTATACTTTCTTGCTGTATTTGGCCTCGTTTGGGTAACCTGTTTTTGCTTTATTTAATCATTTATTTAGTCTAATATTAACTCTGGTGCCTAAAAATAACTTTTATAGTAAAATTCAACAAAACAAAATATACAGAATCAAGGGAATCGGGGAACTTGAATGTATCCTCTATTCCAGTGAAATCTAATGGTTTTCATGGTATCCATAGCAACAAGAGTAATCATCTGCCCTGGGAAAGTAGGTGACTGTGTTCACAATAGAAAGATGATTATGACTCATCTATACAATTTTATACTAATGACTTTGGCCCGAGCCCTTGTTATGTATTGTTTCCCCGATGCTATTCACGGCAAACTCATCTTGGAGACAAACGCGCCAGTGAAATAAGGTCAAAGGAAAAAGCCCACATGGAAAATATGACATGTAAGAACTTACAAAGTCTAGTTTGAAACACAATAGTCTTTTCCTTTCAAATCTCTGAAAATGCAGTATACAGTTGTGCAGTGATACAGCACGGCCCTCCTCATCTGTGTCAACTTGCATCTGACTGACATGTTGACTCCCGCAGACTGCAAATGAGCAGCAGAAGAGGTTCCGACCCACTGCATCACATCTTCACATCTTGTTCTGTCTTATACATATACATGATCAGCAGCAAATGTATATGACCTTATCCATGTCTGTGCATGTGCTTATCTGTCTAAGGGTATTTGTACACACTGAAGAACAGGGATTGTAAAGGTGTCTTAATGCTTGGTTTGAGGAACATGTGAAAGCTACAGCGCATTACTTCAAAGCGTCTGTAAATATCTGTTTCACCCAAGCCAGGACAAGAGGAGATGATACGACGCTGATTAAGCCATTCAGCTCCTCTAACTATTCGCGGTATTTTTCAGTATTTGTTTTTTTTTGTATTTGGTGTTGGTGGCGACATTACTGTGGAAATGAGGCATTCTACTTGGTTTTACCTGACAATGAGAAAAGAGGGGGAGGAGAGCGCTGCTCGAAGCAATATGGTGGAGAAGTGGATCCTACTCAAAAGAAAAAGCCTTCCTGTTCAGCAGAAGGTCTATTGGCGAAGAAAGAGAGTGACAAACGGAGAAGACTAGCACAGATTTGCATCAGCGTCATTTTTCCTCCATGGAGAGCCCTGAAGGAGGAGATTGGACTGAGGTCTGACACAGATGTTGTCTTGATACTGCTGGATAAGTAAGTGACTCTGTTAAATCGATATGCGGATGAATGGATGGGTGGATGGTTGGTTGGATGGGGGAATGAATTAATTGGTTGGTTGGTTGGTTGGTTGGTTGGTTGGATGGGGGAATGAATGAATTGGTTGGTTGGTTAAATGGAGGGATAGATGTTTGGATAAATGAATGGGTGGATGATGGATGAATGGTCGATTGTTGGGTTGATGGATTAATGTTAGATTAATGAGTGGATGGATGGATAGATGGTTGGATGGATTGGATGAAAGTGAAATTCAAATTCATTTTACTTTTTTGATAATTATTACCATTAATCACTGTTTTGTAGTTTATTTGCAGTTATTGCCTTTTCCAGTTGGATTGTTTACCTACTGTTTGGCATCATTTCCATTTTCACGTGATTATTTTACAAACATCATCTTGAGCCTGAACAATGAAATTTTATGCATAGAAACAAAAAACATTCAACAGTAGTTCTCTGTTATTCTAAACAGAGAGTAACAGAACCCGATACTGAGACTGAAGAAAGCCTAAAGAATCTAATATAACACATTTCAAGTGGTGTCTGCAGCCAGCCACACACGTCAGAAACACATATCTAAGTAAATCCCATTTTATCCAGTCTCCTGAAAGTGAAATATTTATCTTGTCTTTTCCACGACGCTGCACAGTAGTTGACTTGCATTTCTAAATTATGTATTTATTCAACACGAATGGACGTATTTGAATGTTTTTTTTTGACCAGCCAGATCAAACTGCTGCTATTAAAATGTATGAGAAAGCAGGATGGAGCTCAAAGGGGATGACAAAGAGGTGGATGGAGAGATAGGAGAGAGAAAAGCATAGAAGGGAGGGAGAGTGGAAGATATTATTGAGCAGTTCCCACTGGACAATCTCAATATATCATTTCGATATAACTCCATCTTCAAAATGAGAAGTCTCACTCAGTAAATACTAGAATGTAATATCGGTGTGTGTGAGAGTGAGCTTGTGGGACAATTTGATCTGCTGGTCTTTGTGTGCATGAGGCCCTGTAAGCACATCCAGAATAAGATTTTAGAAAAGTTTGTTTTCAATCAGTTAGATGATTTTATGACATCTGTAACATCTACTGAATATATCAATCTGGTTTCAGGACAAGTCACAGTAAAGAGACTTTGTCAAAATTGCAAACAACATCAGCTCAAACATACAAAAAATGCCCTCTGTCCTTGTATGCTTGACCACTGAGCATCCTTTCACATAGTTGATTTTAGATAGGCTTTACAATCTTACCAGCATCTCTGGTACTGTTCCTCAATGGTTTATATCTTATCTTACAGACAGGAAATTCTATGTAAGCGTGGGGGAATGTCCAAAACAATACCCTGAAAGATGCTAAAACTTTCTATCAGCAAAACTCGCAGTTTGGTGATAAATTTGAAGGTTTGGCGAACAACCCTTAAAAACAAGACAAAAGCATCAGCCTTTTGCTAAAAGTTGACCAGTGCAGCTTTGTTAACATCACGTTACAACAGCTCTTTAGGGTTGTGTATCTGAGAGATTGATTGGCTTTCTTTTTTGCTCTCTCTATTTGCTCATTTACATTTCTAATTTGATGCATGACTCCAGACTAGCAGGTCCATCTCAATGTTCAATAGCTAACAATAAGTAAAATCAGAAAAAGTTAAAAAGATGATATCTCAGTGGCATGGTTCCCTAGCAACCATTCATAAAGCCCCGCCAGAAAACCTAAACCCAGCCAGATTGCTTGGCTGGAACTTTGTTTTTAATGAATGCCCAGTTACACTTGGAAAAAGCAGAAAGGTGGGAGTGTGTCTGAACAAACACCAAAGCCTGCAGAGAGGAGAGGGATCTCTGTGCAGGGACCTAAAAATACTTTTTTCTGCTGTTTTGTCTCTGTGGACTGGAACGCAGACAGCAAATATGAAGCAGATTACTCTGGGATGTGCAGTTGGACTGGGGATAGAGCAACTCAGAGGTGTTTGATGTTGTGTACAACAAAAAAAAGACCAGCCTCACAAAGACACCTGGGTATTTAAACCCATGTTATCAAAAACAATGGTAGCCATCTTTGTACTCAGTCTGACGTTTCCATTAGCACCAGCCACAGTCTGTCAACTTCTGAGCCTCTAAAAACCAGAAAACACATCATAAATACAAAAGTAGGTTTATTCTAACTTAAAAATTACCCACCGTGTTAAAACTCTGAGAGAATCATGTCTCCTCTGAGCAGTCTTGGTCTACTTCTGCTGTATAAGTGGGATGGCCGACTTTGACAAACTAGAGCTTGATTTGTTACAAACTCACATCCAAGGATTTCTGACGTTATCAAAAACTAAAAATAACGTCACTGTTTTTAGTTACAGGAAAAAGAAGAGATAAATTACATGTAGTCACCTGCTTTCTCATTGTTGTAACCCTATCTGCCAGCCATCTTCACCATTTCTCTGAAACTACTGCTGACAACACCTCAGTACTGGCAAGATTTCTTCTGGTACAAACCAAACATCCATAAACGACAAATCTGCTCTTGCTATTTGAATAACAACCACACAGCTGCACATTGTTATGTTTCTACAATAAGAACTCAGAAATAGTCCTTCAGAGTCCAAAAATAGAAACACAATCAAAGAGATGAAAAAGTGACAGTATAAAAAAAAGGATCAGGACTTCTCAGTGTTTGATCACCAAAACACTTTGCAGCCATCAAAGGATGAAATGGGTAAAAAAGGCTTTAGAAAAGAATCACATAATGAAACAACAGAAAGACAGAAACAGCCACACAGGCTTAAACACATTTCACCACACACACACCAACCGTCTGGGCCGCAGACACTTTAGGAAGTGTGTCGCTGATTGAGGCTGATTGAGTGCACAGGCAGGAGGCCAACTGTTTGGGGGAAATTACAAAGATGAGTGGCACACTGCCTGTCAGCTTTTTTTGGGGGGTTGAGATGCCCCGTAATACACACTTCTACACACAGTTCTGCTGCAGTAACAGGACGGAGGCGAGAGAGAACTGATAAAAGCTTAAATTGTGATGCATTTCAAAGTGACTCATTTTTCATCACATGCTGTATAATTGGGCTTCCTCATCCTTCATCTGGGAGATAAATGACGAAGTTTGCAGACTCAATTCAAAGATCAACATGAGAGGCTGATTAGACAATAACAGACTATAAATTATTCTCCCCGAATAACGCCGCAGACTCTTCAAATAATAGTTCAAGTGTTTGATGAGTCTTCTTAACTCTTTGAACACTGAAGAAAAATAAAAGTAAAAAGTAAATGCATCACTTTTTGTGCTTATAGTGATGGGTTTTCTTTGAGTATCTTCAGAAACCCTACGGATACACTGACTGCAGCAGCCTGGGTGATTCAGAAAAAGTATTCAATTCTGTCAGAGTTTGGCCCACCGAATTTTGCTTATCTTGGTTTTCTTCAGTCGCATTTAATACTTGAGCCTGATTGGTTAAAACCATGCCCAATACTCCAATATCCATGACTAGTGTCTCAAACTGAAAGTACCAAGGTAACAAGGCAAGGGTTCAAACAATGCAAGACACACACACACAACTACTCTTGCTAGGCTGCTTCCCCACTTAAGAGTTTGGGAGTCGCTAATATGGATTTTGGGAAACTGATGATTGGTCAATGCTGTCAGTGAGAGGGGTGGAAACACCAGCGCTGAGGGGTGGATGATAACATGTAGCTAACAAGGAGCCTCCAATCAGCACATACCCAGTTGACAGCAGCAATGATCCTCCAACAAAAAGATGACCACTCACTCCCCCATCAGCCAAATAGCACTGAGTAGAAGAAAAGAAAAACATGCACGACAAACACCACCACAACTTGGGAACCATAACAACCACAAAGCTCAAGAATTCTGGTTAATATCTGACCATTCAGTCAGACAAAAGAAGAAAGGGTGAGAAAAAAACATGCAGAAACCAGCTAAGGTTGTTAGCACACTGAGTGAAAACGTCATCACTTAAATTGAAGAAAACAGACAGGAAGCAGCACAGCAGGAGTTTTGGCAGGATTGGACTGCTTGAACAAAACCTTTAGATTACACTAGATTAGATGAGATGAGATTAGATTCAACTTTATTTATCCTTTTGAGAGTTCCCTCAAGAAAAAAGTTGTATTTCATCAAATTTTATAAATACAAATGCTAAGTTAAAAGTTTATTTAACCCACAAGTAGGCTAATCAACATGATAGTTTGTCACAAACTGATGAAGATGAAGCCAAGGAAAGTTCATACAACACTGGGAGGCCCACTGTCTTTCTCATGAAATGGCTTCATCCCTTCATTCTGCCTCCTTGTGTTCAACACAGCAGACAAAGTGCAACAGGTGCAGGGATATCCTGCCTTGAACTGGCAAAGTAAGAGGCTCCAGATTCAAAGAGGATCATGTATAAAACAGTTTCTTTATCTTATTGATACCTAGGATCTTTAAATCTGTTTTCTTCTTTTTTTATTTAAAACAAATCCCTTAGCAGTTTTATTTTCCCTCCTGACCTGTATTTTTTAACACCTTTCCTTCTTTAGTCTCCATCCCTTATTTTCAGAGTAAGAACCAGAGGTAGAGGAAAGAGACCACCTCCTTACAGCAGAGAGAGTAAGCGCTGTCCTCTGGGGACACCAGGTAAGGCGCCTCCGGAGGTTGTTGTAGATTTCCGGCATCTTCTCATTGTTACAATGCGACATCTTATTCTATCAAAGGTGCTGTAAACACTTCTGTTCTGCATTCTTCTCACAACCACAGACCCAGAAAGTGTGCTGATGTCATCATCGTTGTGTAACGTTTTAGATGCGATGGGAAGAAAGAAGGCTACAGAGAGCAAAGAGTGTGTAGGATGTGTTGAAAGAACAGTGAGACATGGTTGATGAATATTTTAAAGGTCTTCTGTTATGTGAAGAAGAAAAATGGAGACACGGGAGGCTCTCAGAGAAATCAGGACATGAAAACACACACAGAGATTCAATCCCCAGGTGGGGTAAAGTTTGGAGTGATTTCCTACATGTCTCACTCTCATTTTAGTAGTTATGATTGTGTTTTTTCATACATTACATAAGAAGTTGTACAGTTGACCCAAATTTGTTGTGACAACTGTTACATTAGGAAAAAAAACAGAGACAAACACGATAAGGACAGTATTATCATCTTTGCCCAAGATTAGTGTGTGGTGTTCAAACAAATACAATAGCTCCACCAAACATCAGCACAGCACATATTACAAAGCCCTGACCAGATCATTTCTACTTTTATGTCGTTTCTGTAGTTTACCAGCAAAAGCATTCATCAGTATGTGCCTTTTCTGCAATAATTCACACAGCCACAGAATATGACAGAGAACAGCACAAAGAAACATGTTACAATAAACCACTGACATGATACGAGAGAACACCACAATACCTGACCCCGGATCACCTTACACTAAGGGAGGATCAATCCAAAATTATTGATCCCCAGTACATTAAAAAAATGCCCAGGGGGACTATGGCCTCACTGATGAGACCAGGATTTAGAGATCATTTATTTCAATTTCAATTATTCAATTATTTCAATGGACCGGGAAATAAGTCCATCTTTGCCTCTACCTTCAAGAATAGCATGTAAAAGAGGACTGCACACAGCCATAGAAGATATAACAATAATCACCATGGATCTGCAAGTACACAGCTTCACCACAGCACACACCACAATAACAAAATCCGCATGAAAAGAATACAGCCCCACAAACAGCCATGATGGACACAGTATCAGTAGCTAAAAGAGGATATGATCATGGCTATGCAAACAGTCACAGAGCATGACCGTTGCTTTAAGTTCCCATCATAACCATAAACTTACAGGGCTTTGACTGAACAAAGCAACAGAGCTCATGTCTGCCCAACCCTTGGGTTTGATGAGAGAGAGCCTCAAACTGTCACAGAGCAACGCTAATAGGCCCACTGTTACCTCTTACACACATGAGAAATATGCACTCCACTCAGCTGGAGTGCATATTTCTGCTGGCCTATTTCATAAAAATATGCAGTGAAAAACGTCCAGCACACATGCTCTTAAATTAACCTTATGAAATTTTAAAATAGCACTGCACAGAGGAACAGAGAACATTACTGTGACTTCACATCAGGAGCTATCATGCAAAAATAGTTTCACAAGTTTGCCATGAAGTGAGCGGTGGTCACAGAGCAGACAGCAGCAGCCTTGTAGAATTTCTTAATGAGCATTTCACAGGCTACAGTCATTAAGATTAAATGAGTCCTACCTCCATGAGTTCAACCGTCTCCACCACAGTATCAGTCCACAGTCATTTTGACGTTAGTCTCTCGAGGGCCTTCATTGAGCACCTGGGGCAAAGCTAAACACACGATAAAGTGGAGGAGCTTTTATCACGTCGTCTCTTGAGTGCAGGGTAGAGTAAGCCAAGCTTGTCAATTAATATGCACAAATAAATGAGTGACACACCAGGGTTGCAGGCTGTTTTCCCACACAGTTCTTCTTCAATAAACACACGAGCGTCCCCTCCGCTCACGGACATCACTTGGCTGGGAAGCAAAACATCTCATAACATCAGCCGGTTGAGGAAATCTTAAGGTTTCTCGTTACGTACCGCCAGTTTTCTACCACTATTAGCCACAATTCTGTGTCTCCAAATTTGGTCAAGTGTTAGTCATAAAGGACTTCAGTTCAAGTCTAACATTTCGGTGTACTCTGTTGTTTACAGCCCACGCTATCATTAGCACGGTTAGCTTACAGGTGCAAGCGTAACCCGTAATTACCCGCTCTGGAACGTTCGAATTTTCATCAATAACTCCGTGGAATCATGGGAGAATGAGTCTTTATTCGTTTATCGAAGACGGCATTTAAGGGATTCGGGCTTTTAAAATACCCTGCGACTATTTAATCTAAAAAAAAAAAAAGTGTGTGGTGTTCAAACAAATACAATAGCATTAAAATTGTTTTAATTTTACATCTATACACACCTCCTTAAAATAGTTTTTAAAAGCAGCATCTCAGCAAAAAATCAAGTAAAAATTAGTGTTTAAAATGCTTGATATTTTTATTTGATTACATTTGACTTCAATGCGTATAGTTTTAACTTTGGAATATAAGTTGCTTGACTGAAATATCCTTTTGAAATATACTCAACTTTTTTTTCCAGTTTTAATCAATTAATCCCAAATTATGCGAATGAGTTGTAAGCTATGTAAATATTACTGCTAAAATACATCTTTGTAAATATATATAGGAAGAACAAAATATTATTTACACTAGGCTATTTGATGCAAGTAGTAGAATTTTCAAATGGATGTCCTTGTGGCTTTTAGTGCTTTTGGAGCCAGCCTTAAACAGACACTTGAGGAGCTGCAGCTTTTGGCACTTCTGCATTGGACTCAAGAGGCTGCAGCTTGGTTATCACAGACCGGTCTTTCCAGCACTTTCATAAGAAGCTCTGACCACCAGAGGACATAAATAAAGCTGTTCAAGAGGTGTAACACAAACTGCCCTGTCATGTATTGTTGTTTTACAAAACTGACATGACACAGGTTGGCAGGCCACCAAAATCTGAGGATTGTGCCACCTGTCAGTGCATGTGACTTTATGTAGGTGTATTTTTAGCATAGTAGTTTAACTTGCATGACATTTTCTGCGATAGTTTGATTTGTTTATTTGCTGTTTTTACAGGCCTACAGTGTATTAGCGTATATCATTTATGATACAGTGTTTACATTGGGATAATGGCCAACATGGAAGTGCTAAAAACTGCAGCACACTGTGGCTATATGCGAGCAGGCTCGAGGCCTGCCTCTGGTTGGTTGGCCTAAAGTTTGCTTGAGTCACATCACCAATATGATGACTGCTCATAGGCTTCACAACTTAGCTTTTTTATTATATATATTTCATATTATACAGCCTTTCAACACATATACGATGGAGTGGTTGATGTTTAGTTCAATTTTCATAATGCAACTACTGCTGAGCTCCTCTACTTTGACTAAAATGGTGTCCAGTTCAGGGGTAGGATCCTTCGAAGGGTGCAATCACCAGTAGAGGACTGTGTATGTCACAGCAGTGGGTTAAAGGCTGTCCTGATTTTATGGCTCCCTCAACAAATGCACCCTACTTCTTTCAGGATGCGCCTGATATAGACCCAGAGAGACACTAGAAGCTTTAAATGGTAGTTGAATTCAGTAATACAATCTAGGGATAAGCCGGTGATGCTCCAGAACATCCAACATTTTCTGGATCATTTTGGCGTGCTTTAAAAAAAATCTTTTTAAGTTTTACGACTTCATAATCTTGCAAAATGAATTGCCCCTTTAAATACAGGTACCCATGGCAACCACCCTGACTCAAGTCTGATATTCCCCTTACCTTTGGTGTACCTCAAAAATACAGTTCTCTTGATATCTCACAAATAAAGTCCTTACACACAATTAATTGACACAACAATAACGGTACATTTAGGATTTTAATATACAGTTTTTTTTAAGATAAAGTTCTTTGATAAACAAAGGGACAGATTTTTTGGCTATATAAAAAGCTATTTAGAAACCAGTGACTAGACTGAAGAGACAATAGTGGTTGTGTGCTTACATTTTCAGGTATCAAATACAGACACAATTTGCTCAGAGTGAAGAGGATACTCACAAAACTTAGAAGAAACATCTCACTGACTGGTTTACAAGAATCACTTCATCAATAGTTCGAACCACGGTACTACACACTGAGCCATTTAGAACGAGCTTTGCTCCCAGAAATATGCAGAAAAAGAGAATCAGATGCAGGAGGTCAGTTTACCTGTATGTTTCATCAACAATAGGGGAGAAAGTAAATACTGAAAACCTATGCTCTTCAGGTGATTTAGTGACAGAAACTGGACTGGCACAAGGACATAAACTCCCTGGACAGATTTATATATTGGCCCACAATACACTGATAGTGATGGTAATAAAAAGAGTTGTCAAACAGGCTGCAGGGTATTGTGTTGCAGTGCTGCTAACTTCCTGTCCATTTCCTCTATTAACTTGAAAAACTGCAGCCTGCCTCAACCAAAGGCTACATCCACCTGGATCTCTTGGAGCTCATAAAGGGGATTTCATTACAGTCAAAAGGATGCTGCCTCCAGCAATGGAGAGAAAAATAACCCATATCCACATTCTCTCACTAAAATTGGTCTAGTTTCAGAGTGGCTAGCCTTCATTTGTGATTTATGTCTTTCTGATGTTGTTCCTCTTCTCTTATAGATGGAGATAAAGGTAAACTGACCTCCTAATAAGAGAGAGACACCCAGAGATAGTGTGCTACTACCACAAGAGCACGAGACAGACAGAGAGAAGGTGTTTGGCAGTGCAGAATCGTACGCAAAAGATTCATTGCAATATACAGAATACCAATGAGCATCAAACCTGGGTCAATACAGAGCTCAAACCGTTCAGCTTGGTCATAAAGTAATGAAAACATTGATAATAAGGGAGCAAAATAAGGCTTGTTGAGAGAAATTTTGGTCATTGGCACATTTCTAGCATAAATTGATAACTATCAAATGTCCAGGCTGTTCAGATTCACCATCCCTTTGAATACTTGAACTGTAACAAGTTGAGAAGTTGTACCAGTGGTTTGAACCTTGTTCTGACCCAAATCTGATGTGGAGAAATAAGAAAACAGATTTAGAGTACAATACACTTGTAAATTTACACACTGTGAAAAACATTTCATCGGTTCCTCTTAAAACCTCAAGTAATGAGACTTTAGTGGGGATAGATGGTCTAGAAAGTAGACTCATTTTACTCAACTATAAACTGTCCATAAAGCCCCATCCTCTTTAGCTGCTGTGTTTCTACAAGATGGCAAACATTTCATCAATATTGGCGACAAAATTTACCATTCAAGGCTTTGAGTTATTTCTAAGAACAGATACCTGATTTATGACAAAATTTAACCAATGCAGCTTTCCAATTCAAACCACTGACTGCCATTTTAAAAATAACAACTGTGCCCAGCTCTTATTAGCTGGCTAACTAAGCCAGCAGCAGCATGAGTCAACAGTATATTTTTAAGGTTCAACTAATGTACAATGAAATCAATTTATGGACAACAAAGCCCGCAAGTCTTCGAGACTCCAGATGCTTCTTAACGTGTGTGAGGATTCACAAGTTGCACAACTTTGTTACAAGAGCAGATCAGTAAGTTTCCCTCATGGTTCCTGGTTACAAATGAGATGCTAAAGCAGGAAAGATTAACAGGTCACTGAAATCCTCGAACTTTGCAAATCTTTTTTTTTTATTTTTGGTTCAAACAGCCAATTTTGGTCTCATTTCTAAGTGTATATTATTGATTTAACAGTAGATGTAAATAAATTACTTGTACAAAAATGAAACTTCTACTTTTTACAGTATTTCCTAAAAATGATCATACAAATATAAAAATTGCCCCTATATTTACAATCTAAAATTGGCACTTTTCTGTGTCAGCTAAATAATATGCTATGATTACCTAATAAATTCATTATGATGCTCTCTTAACTACACTACAGATTGCATGACTTCAAATAATAAATTATCCTATACCAATCAAGTGGTTAAAAAGCAGATAAAAGCAGTCTATCGGATTTTTTCTCCACTATGTTACTTAAAAAAAAAGAGCATTTATATTTTTAGTGTACTGCTGGTCTTTTGGACACTGATTTGCTGGACTGTCATAGTCGGTAAAACCATACTTTTTTGTCTTATTGTTGTCAAATGTTGCCCAAACAGAAGTAGTATTTACACTCAAAGATTCACCTTATCTTTTATAACTGTGTGGACGGTAGCTCTGTGAAACTCTGCATTGATTTTTTTTCTCTCTCATCCCACTATAGTTCATTTACTCCAGAGTCGCAGATAACTGTAATCTGTCTTCTTGACCAAAAATACAGTCCCCGGCTCAATTACTTGCGATTTCGAGTCGAACCGATGGATTTGTTGTTCATAGCGCATTCATCATAAGAGCACCAAAGAATGTGTACAGTTTATATACAGCCCGACGTGTAAGGCGTAACATGATACAACAGTGTAGTGCAGATATTCATCTTCAGTCCAGTTCATGCTGAGTCCATCTCTTTCAGTTATACTCCAAGATGTCAAGTCCCATTTCTTTCCACTTTCTTCAAAATCTGTAGTTGGTAATTTGATTTCATTCCACTTCATTCATTAAACCCTTAAATTAATTTCAATTAGTCCAGCCCAAACATTGTAAGTCCTTGTTGAAGTATCTCTGAGACCAGCCCAGTTGTGTTTTAGTCCGCTTGATATTTCTTAATGTACAGTGTTGTGTACATGGGGAGTCCAGTCTCTTCTCTTTGTTTTCCTCCTGCAAACTGTCATTACTGCAGAGACGCCCTGCGCTAGTTAAATTAACTGAAGATTTGCTCCCATGTGTGCAGCATTGTATTAACTGTACATTTACAGCTGTATAGTCTGTAAACCGGGTCCAGTGGTTCTATAGGCAGTGTCGGCCCACATGTTTAGCTGGGTGCTGTGTTTTTTAACTGGGTTGGACTACATAGTTAACCAGTCCCTTTATCTTTAAATGGATGCAATTCGAAAGTGGTTCTCATTGATTAATTCCCCTTCAGTATGTACTATGTAGTTTCTTAATTATGTTAGCAGATTATGTGTATCGATACACGAATATGAACATTTTATTGTGACATATCTTGTACTGTCTTAAAGCTAACTACATGGAACAGTACAGTTTGAATATTAATTACCTTTACTTGTCAAAATTAGCTCGGGGCCAGTGGGATACGCAACATTTTTTCTTCTTCAGAACAAGATGATTCAAAGAAACTGACCTGATTCAAACCTCTTGAGAAGATCCAGACATCCAGATGGGTTGAGAAGCAATCCCATCTGTCTGCTGTTATTTAGGCATACTAGGTCTACAGCAGGGAGGTTTGTGAGATTTAAAGGTTTCAGGCAGAACTGCTAAAAATATGTTTTGACCCTGTTTGAAGAGCACCCCAGGGTGTGAGTGTAAAGAAGATTTTGCTTTGTGTTAGCTTTCCTGTAAAACAAGGGTTACACAGTTCCTGTAAATGTACAGTATTATTGTAAAGAATAAACACTGAGGATGTAGGACACTGGCTGAGTGTGATTATTTAGTGTCTTTCTGTATTCATGCACCCATTTTAAAAATGTAACCAGACCAGGTAAGGCAAATCTCTCCCAGCCAAGTCAGAGGAATACTAGCCAAAGGCTACTAGCACTCAGGTGAAGTCTCCATCCCTGAAGAGGACTGTCTATTCAACAGTTGGAGCCAGCTGGTGTGTAGTTACTCAGCTCCCTGCGGATGGTGCTGAACGGTGACAGCTCCAGCTCAGTGGTGCATTCATGTTCGTTATCGTCACTAGCTGTAGCAGAAGAGGGGGCATGGTTGCAGCAGCAGCAGCAACAGCAGCAGTCCAGGAAAGCCCTACCCAGAGGACGGCACAAAAGTAGCAGCAATGCAGGTGTGACGGCAGCCCTGCAGAAGAGCAACAGCTGAGAAAGAAGGTGGAGCACGGACATGGTGTGCTCAGGGACACCAGCCGCCATGTATGCAGAAACTATGTTGCAGATGTTTTCAGGCACCACGCAGGCACCATACACGATTGCTAGCGCAACAACAGTGCAGTTCATCTGGCTCTCAAGTCGTATCTGCTTCTTGTTACTGCGAACGCTTGCCTGCTCCGCACGCCGGATCTTGCGTGCCGTCACCAGTGAGCACCCGATTGTAAAGAGAGTGGGGAGACAAAAGTAGCAGCCAAAACACCACCAAAGACGAGCACCCTCGTAGGTCAGTCCCAGCACATAGAGCATGTCAGGGAGGGAGGTTGATATCCTGATGATGCAGCGTTCGACAGGAGGCTCGTAAGGCACTCCTGGGTCCTCGATTACCAGCTGTCGGATGAGGAGCTCTGGAAGGGCCAGAAGGAGAGCACCAATCCAGATGACGGCCAGCTTAGCGGTTGTGGAGGTGCAGTTCTCGATCATCTCGTAATACATCTGGACGTTAGTGGCTGCTCGGAAACGGTCGATGCACAGCGCACAGAGGGTGAAGGTGGTGACGCCAAGGGAGGCAACCTGAGGAACAAACAGATAGAAATGTTGTCATTTGAATTTAAACGTTACAAAATAAAAGATTATTAGATTCAAACGCTGGGTTTCCACTGTAAGAATTTATCACATGTACCAGGGACTTAAGGAGTGCTCAGTGAGATACCATATTGAATACCAGGGTCTGATGGTCTTTGTCCAGAGGGAGTACTTTCCAAAAATACTGGTTCTGTGGAGGTGGACCTTTCAGTAATGAAAATATTTTTATTTGACTGGTTAGTAGTGTGAGTGCTTATGTTGTCATGGCAGTGCAGCTGTGTTATTTTAACTTCCAATCCAGTATTAGGACTGTCTGGTATTTGTATCCAACGCACTGTCTTGAGTTTAAAATACCCCACTTAATGATCCCGAACTCAATGGTCACTATTTCCTCCAATACAGAAAATTTGAACATGTGTAACACTTTTCAGTAAACCTCTGTAAAACACAGCTGGCAGCACACACACACAAGAAGACCACACTGCCAAATCTTCACATGAATGAAGACTTTACTTTAGATTGCAGAAATAGACTTGAGGAACCTTTTAGTCCTATGAAGAGAAGCTCCTGGTATTAAAAGTTCCTGGTATGTTTGGTCTTATAACTGTTTTTGCTATTATTTGTGAATTTGTTTCATTGGTTTGACTAGGCTTTACTCAACTGAATGATGGGAACTCTGAAATGACTTTTAGGTCTCATAGAGGGAAGGTCCTGGTATTAAAAGTTCCAGGTATCTTTGGCAGAAATGCAACCTTACTCATTGCCATTGTTTGATTTGTTTGATTGGTTTGAATATATACATAACAGCAGATAATAGTAGAGAACTTTTTTTTCTCATAAAGGAAAGGAAAAGTAAAAGTTCCAGGTCGTTTTGGTGGAAACACAACTTAAGTCTTTTTTTGCCACTGTTAATTTGTTCGTTTTTTTGTTTGAATTGGCTTAACTCAACTAACAGTATCCTAAAATAATGTTCATATTTATACACCATATATGGCTGGAAAAAAGAACAGTAGAGAAGATTTATGAATTTATGTGAACTGTAGATGATCTACAATCGTTTTTCAGCTGACAGATGGGCTGAGCAGCCTGCAATACTTAAGTCAAGCTTGTCAGGTCCTCAATCTTGAGTGAATAAAAGGATAACAAAGAGCCGCCAAAATGTATCACCAGAGTGGAAAATGTCTGACATTATCTTACAGAATCCTAAAGATGGGTTGCCTGTGAAGTAAACAAAAAGATCCACTTGTTTGACACGCAAATAAAGGCCTTTCTGCCAGCTGACAAGTTGGCTTCCAGCACATAAATAAACAGCTGGACACACTGTAATGGCATTGGCCTTTAGGTGCACCTGATACTCATGTAATTACAAGCAATGGTGCAACAGAAGCACAATGGAAGGCTGTAAGCTGCTATTACCACAGAGTATCCCTGAATGTGTGTGAGTGTAGGGGAAGAAAGGAAAGCAGACAGAAACAGAGACACAGCCAGCAAGTTGCATGGTGGATTAAAACCTGTCGTCAATGCATTCATTCATTCAAATCTATTTCACACCCTTTCTTCAATGGTAGTGGTATTAATTAACGAACTTCCTAAACGGTCCATTGTTTTCCTGTTGATGTGTCCCTCAAAATCTCCCTTTTTAACTGCTAATTAGACAGCATTGCTTCCACATTCTTCCTGCAGAAAAATTGTCAGTGAGTGCGTAAATTTCCGCAGCATGTGACAGCATCTGTTGGATTAACAGCCATTTTGGCAGAGTGGGCACCCTGCAAAGTATTGCTCTGCAGCTGGAGTGTGTGCATGTGTGTGTCTGTCCCTACATGAACCAGCTCCCTCTATGATGCTGCCTGAGGCGTCAACTCTCAATCCATCCTCCCGACTTTACCTTCCTTACCTTTTCTCCCTTCTAACTCTTCCTTATTCTCTCCTTTCTCCTCTCTTGCTTTGTTCCTCCTTTTTCCACCCCTCCTTTCTTCCATCCCTCCTTTTATATCAAATTTAATTACAACAGCCAGTTCCCCAGATGGCCCCTGTGAGCCTCAGCGTTAGAGCTCCGAACACATACTTCCTTGACAGATATAGATGTACATGCACACACTTACACCACAAGATGTTCCCTTATCTAGGCCGTAACACACATAGACACACATACACACACTGACCCTCTGACACACATGTATGGCCTAACCAGGCTAATGAAGGGCGACCATGCGAAGCGGAGAGGGGTAACTGGGGTAGACAAAGCACCAACACTGACTGTGTTCAGAGCAACTGTTTATCATGCCCTCATGCTACTAATCTTTTGTGCAAATGTGCCAAATTTAGCCAGAACATCTCAGTAATTATTTCTGAGGTATTTAAGAAGGACTTTATTTAAAGGAAATCTAGAGTAGATAATAGCTGCACATGTTTATGTGGGTGGTTTATTCACATTCTTGGTGGATTAATTCTTTATGTGATTTGGGCAAGTGTCAGAATTTGAGAGTACCTGGAAAATGTTTTTGAGCATGCTTCGAAAGCCAGAGAGCCAAAATCAAATAAAACCTTGAGATCTAGCAGCTGCCTTGAGCTGGAGGTCTATTTCATCAGTGGGATAACCAAAGTGAGAAGTGAATTTAAAATAAAAAGTAAACTGAAGGAATCCTAACCTCAAACAAAGCGAAGCAGCTAAGCTAGGCTACTGTTAGCAGGCAGTCCTTGTTCTCTGATGTTCGGATTTTGGAAAATCAAAATTGTTTATTGGTTTATTTAATGTTTTGATTGTTTCTATTACCCTAAAATTACAACAATCACAACAAAACAGCGTTATAATGTGTGATGTGATAACAGTGACAGTTTTCGAGCTCAGATGTGAGTATTGCAATCTATACAACAACCACACTGTTGTAACGTGGGTACCCTTAAACTGCAACAATTCATTTTCTGCCTGCAGATAAAACAAAGCATTAAAGTGTTTGCAACAATAAGCAAGTTGATTTTGGGGGGATTTTGAGCATCAGAGTGGTTTACTGGTATACTTGTTGATATAGAAACACAACTTAAAGCTACTGTAAGAAGTCTCTAGCTGATTCTGAAACAGACACACACAGTCACACTGATGTCTCTTAAAGCAAATGAGACCATCATCTTCACAACTTCATAACCTCTGGAGCAGGGTAGGTGTCAGCCAGCCAAAACAGCCTTTATTTACATTTTCTTTACAAGGGTTTAAATGAGTCATACATTTGGGAGATATATAGTAGGATGTTAAGAAACACCACTTTTTCAAAGAAAGGGAAAAATCAGCATAAAGGGTACTGCTTTGTCCATATGGGACACCAGAATCAACACAAATCACTGGTTTAACATAGGCATGTTTTTTCCATGGTTATTGGTATTAATCCCTTTGAAGATCCTTTGATGATACCAGTTTTCACCAAATTCACAATAGGTATTTTCCTCTTATTTAGTTGAAAAAGGTGCTATTTGCTTAATTAATTACTAGTGATGCACGATATGAAAAATTTCAACCGATACCGATAACCGATAATTTTCTTCTTCTCATGGCCGATACCGATACCGATAACCGATAAATTCATATTTTTACATTTATTATAATCTTCATAAAATCTGCAGTTTGTGCAGGATGCAGCGATTGAAAACTGATATTTTTGTTGCTCTGGCCTATCTAGAACAACAAACAAAAGTTTTTGGCTCTTCAAATGTGGTCATTTGCTATAAATAACAATAACAGAGCAAAAAGCAGAACTTCATTTGATCCCCTGAACTGTTCAACAGAACTGTAAACGGTAAAGGAGCCATTATGAGCCGTTAGGCTTAGCATGCTGACCGGACTAACATCTGACGTCCATATGTCTGTGGTAAAACTCACGTGTAGTCCGTTCTTGTCGATCAGGTTGTGAATGTTTGTGGCGACAATATCACAGAGTGCAGGAAGAGACACATCCGAGAAGAAGCGGCGGCTTGGGAGAGTGTAACGTGGCTCCAAGTGTGCTATGAACTTATGAAAACCCGGGTTCTCAACGACGGAAAAAGGCTGGTCGTCGACCGCTATGAATTCCATCACTTTGTCGTTAATGGCTTTAGCCTTTTCGCTGTCTCTTGAGAAGCTTTTGCAGTTTTTAAACGCCTGCTGAATGGGGACATCGATCCTCCGTAGTGTTGTTGTCTTAGCTTTAGTACCACTAGCAGCTTCGGCGGCTGTCTCATATTCTTTTAATACTGCTTCGCCGCGATGGCGACTTTTCAGATGAGCTATCAGATTCGTTGTGTTAAAACTTGACGTCTTCTTTCCTCCTCTCGAAATCCTCGCTGAACAGGTTTTGCATATAGCAATGCTGTTGTCATCTTCTGCCACTGAGAGAAACGACCATGCTAGTGAAGACATTTTATTATCTGTCTGGCAGTGACGGGGTCAGGCTTGGGACCTGCGAGTAAAGCTTGATAGAGGACGTGACCAGCGCGTCTCGGACGGGCGGCTACTCCGCCTGCAAACGTTACTCGTAATTTCATTAATATATCGGATCTTTCTATCGGAAAAATGCACCTATCGGACCGATAAAAAATGACGTAATTTCCCCCCAAATCGGCCGATATTTTATCGGTCCGATAAATATCGTGCATCCCTATTAATTACTGTTTGTGAAAAGAAAGAACAATTTCCAGCCTTTTTATTATGGACCTGACTGATGTGACAGGATCCCTTTAAGCTAATTAGAGCTTGTGTTCAGCGGTTTAGCAGGTCTTCTTGCAGATTATAAAGCTTGGAAAACAGGCATTTCTCCTCTAAACAACTGTATAAACAGTATTTAACTTCTCACCTGAGCAGAAATGTTGTTTTCTTGATGTTACATATCAATTTAATATGGAGATTATTGTATATCTTTGCTTTGAACCTCAGATACATCATTACGTCCCTTCAGGTTACCTTGTTTAGTTGGCTGAAAAGCTTTTATCTCATTTCAACACAGATTTCAACACTGGATTACTGCTGTCAGTTAGCAGCACATGGGAGCATCTACCTTGGGTGCTTTGACTGGAGGGGGGAGGGTTTCTATCCCACAGCATCAGCAACAAGGACTGTTTTTCCCAGTTTGAATCAACCTGAACCTTAATATGATTTAAATGATGTGATTCAACTTGAGATATAAGATTACGTCATGAGACTCAAATGCAGAATAAGCTTTAACATTATTGAGTTTCAGGTTTTGAAAAACATGGAGCTGGGTCTTTAATAGAATTGAGGGTTTCAATCCTCATCTCTCGTTTTATGGCCATCTAACATAAAGTAAACAAAGAAAATTGCCCAAGATTGTTCCGAACACAGTTTTGACTGGCTGTTGGAAACATAGCATTCTGATCCAGAGAAAAAGGACCATGATCGAATCTACTCTCTAATAAAATGATGCAATGAATTATTCAAAGAGCTCTGGTGTATTTCAGACACTCTATGAAGAGGTGAGTACATGTGTTCACTTGGTTCCCTCTATCATCTTTGAATGTTGATACTATTCACCAGAACTGCCCTCTTTGAAACATATAACACTACTTTTCTAACGTTGCTGACAGTAAAAGAGATTTGAGTTTTCGGGTGTGTATCAGAGCTGCTGGATTAGAGATCTACCTTTCAGTCACAAATATTTGCAGTTGCCCCTGAAGCTTAGTCCTTTCTGAGAAAATAAGAAAATAAATATGCTTGTTTTTCTTCTGATAGTCAGGGTAAGGTGGTAAGACTCACTTTTTTTCTTTGCATACATCCAAAACAAGTAGGTGCACCCATATTTCCATATGCCTTCAAGTGAACAAACACACCAAGGTACACAAATATCTGTCCAGCACACATGGACAGGTGCTTGGCCATGCTGAATATTTCATGGCTGGAACAACAGGCCTGGAACAGCTTTAAAGGCTGTCATGGAGGACCAGGAAAGCCAGCTTTGATCAGCATGTTGGGGCGGAGAGAGCGAGTGCAGGGTTGAACAAGTGAGGCTTTGTGTGCTGTAGGGTAGATGAGAGATAGAGAGTCCAAGAGTCAGGCCTGGTGGGGTGATGAAGCTGTGTTTGTGGAGGAGGGGTTATGCAAATGCAGGACTGACGAACAGAGGCAGAAGAATGGAAAAAGGAAGAGAAGTGGGAGGAAAAGAAAGAAAAAATGGAGAGAGGGAACAGAAGACAATAGCAGGGGGACACATCACATGAGATAGAGACTATCTAGGGTGACAGGAAGAGAGTGACGGGCCTTTTCCAGAGTGATTAACAATGTTAATGTGACATTTCATCAAAACAGTGGACTTGACCCTGTCATGTTCATTTTCCTTTCACCTGCTGCTGAGCTGACATGCTGTCTCGCCTTAGGATTAGAAAGGATTAAATCATCATTTAAATCTTACGAACTATTCAAAACAATCACCCATTTTAATGAGGTTAACATACTGTCTTCGCTTAACTGTCCAGTTTGGGTATTTGAAGTTCACTTGAAAGAGCGACACCACTTTTTCTGGGCGCTGAATAATTTTTGTGGTTAAATAGCTGAATGCACAGAGGCTGTAAACATGTTAGCGGTTTGAGTTCAGCCCACAGTCTCTTGATGTAAATCATTTTCTATTCTCAACATAGCAAACTTAAAGAAAAAAGCATGATTTTTAAGACTATTTTTTATTTCCTGAATTTAAAAACAAACACAGCTATTTAAAATTTTCTTGTGAAGGTCAGAACAGTAGCATCCATCTCTTCTTAACCTTGGACTTCAAAAGCTCAAAATCAAGGGCCCAAAGTCTTTCATCCACAACACATGCTTTCCTGATTCAAGCTGTCCATCTGCACAGCAGGTGAGCAAGACATTTTCCCCAAGTGCTGTTTTTAATAACAGCCCATTAACTTCCTGATTAAAGGTCTTGTGAGTTGGTGGCACAGAGGCCTTGTGTTATTAATTGGGTCTTAACAAGGACTGGCGGAGCCTGTGTGGCCACACTGTGACTACAGCCACTGTCAGAGGTAATGGGTGTTATCAGGTGATGAATGGGCTAATGTGGAAACACAACAACACACACATATACAGTCTGGTAGTAATGAGGAGCAGAGACAAAGGGTTATTCCAGCTGCAGTCCTGTTTCTAGGTTGAGTGTGTGACCCAGTGCACGCTCCTGGAGACCATAACTCTAGCCGGAGACACTGCTCCTGACAGCTGCCATCCGTCACACAGCAGGGCTGAGACAGAAAACGGATGCGTGCGCGTGTGTGTGCCAGTGTGTGAGTCTGTGCATGTTCACATTTATGCAGAATAATTAAAATTTTATTCCAGTGTGGGTGAGAGTTTGAGCATATCGTCTAGAGAGTGTGTGTCTGTATATGTGTGTGAAATTTCAACCAGAGACTGTGACAGAATCTTTCTTAGGCCTGGAAGCACATAGTAAACACTTCAGCTATTGAGGAACAGCAAATGTTTTAAGCCATTAGCTAAACTTAGCCTTGAATACACTGAACACAGGGGAAAGTATTGAAAGAGATTTCAAGAATAGAGAGGTAAATAAGAGTGTATTGCTAGTTTGTGGTTAATTTCCAGGTTCTAATAATGGAGACTATCAGAAGATCCGCCTGCCACCTGCAACAAAACAAGTAAACTAGTGCCTCTTATAAAGTTATACTTCAGTACTGGTTACTTATAAATGTACTCCTTTCCCAAACTGACTGAATGCCTCTATCAGCACCTTTTACTTTCTAAATAAAGTGTGATATCTGTTTATTTAAAACTAAATTATAGTTTTTAGGAGGTTTAACATTAATGTGAACAAGATACATACACTCACCGGCCACTTTATTAGGTACACCTGTCCAACTGCTAGTTAACACTTAATTTCTAATCAGCCAATCACATGGCGGATACTTAGTGCATTTAGGCATGTAGACATGGTCAAGACAATATCCTGCAGTTCAAACCGAGCATCAGTATGGGGAAGAAAGGTGATTTGAGTGACTTTGAACGTGGCATGGTTGTTGGTGCCAGAAGGGCTGGTCTGAGTATTTCAGAAACTGCTGATCTACTGGGATTTTCACGCACAACCATCTCTAGGGTTTACAGAGAATGGTCCGAAAAAGAAAAAATATCCAGTGAGCGGCAGTTCTGTGGGCGGAAATGCCTTGTTGATGCCAGAGGTCAGAGGAGAATGGCCAGACTGGTTCGAGCTGATAGAAAGGCAACAGTGACTCAAATAACCACCCGTTACAACCAAGGTAGGCAGAAGAGCATCTCTGAACGCACAATACGTCGAACTTTGAGGCAGATGGGCTACAGCAGCAGAAGACCACGCCGGGTGCCACTCCTTTCAGCTAAGAACAGGAAACTGAGGCTACAATTTGCACAAGCTCATCGAAATTGGACAATAGAAGATTGGAAAAACGTTGCCTGGTCTGATGAGTCTCGATTTCTGCTGCGACATTCGAATGGTAGGGTCAGAATTTGGCATCAACAACATGAAAGCTTGGATCCATCCTGCCTTGTATCAACGGTTCAGGCTGGTGGTGGTGGTGTCATGGTGTGGGGAATATTTTCTTGGCACTCTTTGGGCCCCTTGGTACCAATTGAGCATCGTCGCAACGCCACAGCCTACCTGAGTATTGTTGCTGACCATGTCCATCCTTTTATGACCACAATGTACCCAACTTCTGATGGCTACTTTCAGCAGGATAATGCGCCATGTCATAAAGCTGGAATCATCTCAGACGGGTTTCTTGAACATGACAATGAGTTCACTGTACTCAAATGGCCTCCACAGTCACTAGATCTCAATCCAATAGAGCATCTTTGGGATGTGGTGGAACGGGAGATTCGCATCATGGATGTGCAGCTGACAAATCTGCGGCAACTGTGTGATGCCATCATGTCAATATGGACCAAGCTCTCTGAGGAATGCTTCCAGCACCTTGTTGAATCTATGCCACGAAGAATTGAGGCAGTTCTGAAGGCAAAAGGGGGTCCAACCCGTTACTAGCATGGTGTACCTAATAAAGTGGCCGGTGAGTGTATGCTACACATCACTTACTAAAGTTACAAGTATTGCAAAAGTAAAAGCACATGTGCTTCATATGTCGAGGTCTGATAATTCTGTGTAGTGAACCTTTTTAACTCCAAGCCTCTGCTACTATTCCAGCACTTTTAAGACACTCTGAATTCAAGCACTTATTCTGCTGATCAATATTGCTTACTTGTATCCTTTTATTTAATTGACCACTCTACAATGAGTGTTAATTTGTTCCAGTTTACCTCGCTGCTTTTATTTGAATTGTTCGAGCTGTAAGAGCTGCTTCATTCAGAAAACACTTACACTACCATCTCTCCTAAGAAATGGAGACTATTTTGGGGCAGGAGCTGTAATTTCATCACCTTCAGTTGCCGAGCAACCATCAAAGGAAGATTGATGTAGTTGAAAGCTTAAAGTGGACTGGTTGGTAAAATGTTTTATCGTTTCAGTAGTACAGAATTAATGTGACAGTAGTTTTATTCTCACCATCAGGATCAGTCTCTACCTACTATAACAGAAAAAGGGCTGTCGGAGTATCAGATTTTCACCTCGTGGTTGTCATGACAATACAATAGCTTATCACAATGATGGTATTTATAGCAATATTCAAGCAAGACAAAGGAGGAGAGACAAATTACTTCATAAACTACACTTATGATCACAGTAAACTTAATTGTCACCCTCTATTTCTAAAGATGATGTGTTCCCTGCATTGTAAAAACACTGCCTTTATTTTGAAGTAAATCACTTCTGGAAGATTGTCAGTTAACGAAGCTGGATGAAAACGGTTAAAAGTATAACTGTTTACTTTATCAGTATCCTAAAGATGCATAAACTCTTATGTTGTTTTTGGATTTACCAATAAATCTCGTCAGCTATAAAAAGATTTAAAAAAGGGTTCAAACTTTCCTCCCATGAGAAGGCTTCCGTTGTTTTCAGTGTAGTTCATAATGTGCAGTTCCCGTGCAACTGTGAAGCCCCTGCTGATTTTTCCGTCATGCCAGTTGCCAGACGTTGAACGAATTAGAAGAAGCACATGTAATTGTGCTGTACATTTGGACTATACACATAGTATTTGGGCTTAAGCCTGTGCAAGTGTTAACTACAGGATGGACCCCCTACCTCAGACAAATTGCTGAGTCTCTCTAAGCCCCCTTAGGCTGGTCATTTTTCCCAAACTGGGGGATCTTTTCAATCCAATCAGCTTTCTTTTGAGGTGACAAAAAGGCATCTGAAGTGTGTCTTATATGCAGAATTTTATAGGACCTATTTCGTCCTTCTTGCCTCTCTCTCTTGTTAAATTAAATCACATCTGCAGCAACAAATCAGTCCAGTTTTCGCTTGTTTATTGTTGCTTTCTGCCTGGCATGGTTTTAACTCAGTCTGAACTGGATTCTTCCCAACAAACTTCTCCTTAATTAAATTAAATCCTGACCTAAGGCAGATTTTCCTTGGACATTAAAGAATTTCATTCTGCTCTCTGTGTACAGTAGCTTCTGAAAAAGTCCAGTTCCGGGTCGTTGATCCCTGTCTGAGAGGGTTATGTTGGAGGAAATACCAAATGCTAAAGCTTTCACATCCTCTTCTCTTCTTTGGTGTCTGGCTTCATGCTGGCTGTGACATGTTGAACAGCAACTGAGACACTGATCACTCTTTCTTTAACTCCACAAAGAACTTAAATTCACACTGGAAACCAGGAGACGAACATTTACATGAATATTAATTTACATGGATAATTATTAACTTAGTTAATTGCAACCAACATCAAGCCAAATCTTTGCTTCTGTTGCTGTTTGCTCTTGTCTCATCGTATAAAAACAATAGGTACTGATTCACAGACAACAAGCTGGCTGAAAAGACTCACCATCATGAATTATGTAGAGCTGCTAATTATATAACCTGAATAATTTACATATCTTCCAATTAATGACTATTCGTGTGCCTAATAGACGGGCTGAGACAGGACATGAGATCCATTGTGGTACCACAAGTGTGTCTCTGCAGTTTTTTAGTCTGTAACTGCGTGTGTGTGTTCAGCCTGGACGCAAAAGTGTGTTAGTGTGGGCAGAAATCATTTCACATATGTAAGTGTGTGTGTGTGTTATCCCCCTGAGGCCTGCTTCTAATCACTGATAGCTGATGCAGAGAGAGAAAGGAGGGGTGGGGGGTGGGGGGGTGTTCTCAGCCGTGGGCAGTGATCAGTGCAGAGAAGGCCATCCCACCCATCTGGATGATCAACACACCCTGCTGACTTTGTGCATGCCCATTTATGTGTGCGTGTCTCTCCAGGCAAGGTATCTAAATAGATAGATAGAAAGATAAAGCGGGAGGACTCGAGGATAGATGTGTATATACAGCTCCTGCCAAATGCAACGATTGACATTTACAATATTACAACATTTTGACACGTTGGTTTTCGTCACACATTAGCTCAAGACCAATGGGTCAAAACTTTGCTGTTAAAACAACTTTTTCTTCCAATTGAGCAAGCATGTGGACTTAACTCATCTTTTGTCTATCTTGGACAAGAGCCAATAGACTTCCCTAAGCAACACACTTGTGCGCACTTATATGTGTGCTATGTCTGATTGAAGTGGAATTAACCGCTTGACTTGAGGAATGTGTAACCAGCATAGGCATGTGGACATTAACCTGCAAGAAAGACCTTAGGATGTAAATGTTGGGGCTGCCAACATTAGCCAAACTCTTCGAACCAATGTAACAACCTTTATAGCATACTCCAGCTTCATAGCATTCCCTTTTGCACCTATGTATTTGAGTTTACCACCACCTGACCAAAAACTCAAACCGTAATTTTACTCCCTTTCTTCTCGTCCAGATACAGTTGTGCCAAGGTTTGATTCCTATCTGACACTGATGTCAACACAAAGACTTAAGTTGTGGTCAACACAAAGTCCCCCACTGCAGAAAATGTACATTCATACTGCTGGTGGAAATATTCCAAATGCTGAGATCACTTGAGCTTTACTAAATCATACTACCTAATAGCTATGAGTGACACTGTTGCTGTTGCTGTTTGCACAGGAAAATCTACCAACAATGGTGATTGGTAAACTGAGCTGCACACTTGAAGATATCCAATATTGTATTAAGGCAGTATCAGTGGCTTTTGCAGAAAGTAGTATAAGTTTCAAAGCAATTTGTCATTTTCATGGCCCAACCTAACCCTACACTGAGTGTTTTATAATGTTAACAGGGGTTTATAATCATTGTATGTCCAGTACTCATAAATAGTTTTGAAAGTCCACTAAAGTCTTTGTTTTGCAATTTTGGTGACTCAACTGCTTTATTTTTAGAGACTTGTGTAATAAATGTACAGTAGCCACCCATCCTGCCCTGGAGGTTTATTGTCATATGTAACATGAAGGCTTTATATAAGCTGTCAGCCAAAAAACTTTCCAAACACAGAAGATGTATGAGTTTTTAAATGCACATGGTTAGAGATATTGACTTCCATTCGCTTTCTTAATTATTGAATTCTTGAATAAAAAAATTGGGAGTGACTTAGGCTCACCTTGCCCCAATGAAATGGCCACACATTCCAAGATGTTACACAGCCATGGAGACAAACCAAATATGTTGGAGTTGGAAGAGTGATTGTGAATGTGTCAAACTGATGTATGTCCTGCCATTATGACCAATTCCAGCACAATATGAGGGTCTACCTCTGGCCCAGTGTGGCACCATGCAGCTCTCTCTCTTGCCCCCCCTTAACCAATCTATCACTTTCTCACTCTTCCTCAGCCTATTTCCTGCTCTGCTTCAATAATCTATTTCTCTCTCTGCATGCTGGATCCTACTGTATCACAGCAAATACAGCATACAGTGTCTAGCAACAGGGCGTTGTATGGAAGCGAGGAAACCACGTTTATATGAGGCACAAAAACACGTTTGAGCTGCAGAACTGTCAATATACTTTATTTACTATATTTTATCCCAATAGGCCTCTATGCAGATGATAACATGGTTTATCTGCAATCAGGGACAAATGCTATTAATGGAGTTGCACAGTTTGACACAAAGAGATTGTTTTCATCAACCAATGGAAGTCTTGATGCCTCATACCTAATTGCATATGATTACAGCAGTGCTGCACGCTTGGTAGTGAAAAGCCAATACACCACGGGGGAGATAATGGGCCTTTAGTGAGTCGCTAGATTTATGTCCCATGATGGAGACGGCTAGTTAGCTGTAAATCAGGGTTTAGCAAGAAGGCGTAACAAAGACAGCCTGTTCAGTCTGATGGGATTGGTCATTAGACTGTTGCACATGTGTGATCAATAATAATACACATGATAACAATGTGAACAGGGGTGTACACACATTGAATAGCATTTTAAGAATGCATCATTTTGTTGTAAATGGGGCACCAGAACCCAGACTTGCAATGTGTATCATATGAGTTGAGTGCACGGTTACACCTGATTGGGTTATGCTTCTACCCAGTCGTCTTATATTGTAAACAATGATGCTTGAAGATATAATACCTCGAGATGTGCAGTAACATGAATTATCAGCTTGTGAGCACCTCTTTTTTAATGCTGTCAACAAGAGTTAAGCGATGAAAAGTAATGTTGTACTGGTGATCTGTAAGCAGCTTTTCACTTAAAGACAAAAACTTTCAAAACCCTGATCCAGCAGTATGATCTTTTAACAAACTGTCAAATGACTCACACCCCCCTCTGGCTGACAGAAAGCTCTCTCAGAAAGCTCTCTGCACTTTTTATTTCTTACTTAAGCCAACTTTACAGCTTTATTCTTAACCAGCTAGCAGGTGCAAAACCCAATTACTGCACATTAGTTTTGCCTAATTTTGCTGCTCTGTGTATCTCCTCCTAAAGGAATGAAGTGTCTGCAACATTAAACCAGTGCATAGCTGACATTCTGGCTGAAGCCCACATCTTTACTTTGTGCAGCATCCTTACTGCTTCCCTGCCATGTTTCCTCACGTCTCACACCTAAAATTGCTCTCTCTTTGAGGTTTGGAGGATTCCACGCTCTACTAAACACCGAATAAAACAAGGTTTACTGAGGGAAGTGCCATGGGAGGCTCTGATATATTATCTCGACTACTTTCTGATTATTCATGCACACTTAAAGTCTGGTGTTGCGTGTGCATCAATGTGTCTGTGTGTGAGAATATTGCGTGCCATTTAAACATGTGTGACTGAGTTTGCCAAATGTTCATGTCCCCTGTGACTGAATTTGGGTTAAGTGAAGAACAGTGTCACTCCATAGGGTAAATGTGTGTGTGTGTGTGTGTGTGTGTGTGTGTGTGTGTGTGTGTGTGTGTGTGTTTCCCTGAATGTTCCACAGGGAGTAAGCGAGCCCCAGGCTGCATTACTCATGGCCTGTTCTGACACTTGCACTCACACACACACACACACGAATTGAACCCCCTATACAGACATATAAGCCCCTGAGCTCTTATTTCTGATAGATATGCTCTATAAAATGCATAGTCTCATGCATTCACACTCACACACTTGGCGTTCTGAGTCTCCATTCGCACGTCAAGTTATTAAATAGCATCCTGTGGTTCTTGGGTAGCTCATATGCAATAACACGGGGAGGGGGTTCTCTCTGCCTCTGATCCCACGTTAATTAAAACACGTGGACTCACAAGGTGTCTGCAAATGAAATGAGATACTGTCCATGTACGACAGTATGTGGTCAGCGAGGAAGAACTTGTAATAAAAGAACATTAGATAATGCAAATTCAATTTGCCTTTACTTGCCAATAACTTGCTGTACAAATGTTGCAAATGAACATATGTGTGTAAAAACTTTTTGGTGCCCAGTTTACAAAAATACTCAAACTTAAAAGTTAATTGATTGAATTTTAATAATGAACCTGACTCAGGCCTTTTCACAATAAAGGCTAAAACATACAGGATGCGTATTTGGAGTGTGGCAGGAGCGTCACGTATCATGCAGCAAATAGGATGCCATTCTAATCAATGCAGCAAAGCATACAGGATGCATATCACCTCTGTCATAACATCGTATCGAGAGCAGCACTGCTAAAGATACGCGATGAGTCTATTTTTGCTGCTCTACGCTTCCAATGTGCATCAATCCACACAGAGAAGATCATCCTAGACAGGAAGCCAAGCACCATATGTGAACTCCCGACCGTGTATCAGTTTGTGAAGATGAGAAGTACTTCCTGGTTATGGATTCATCAGTAACACAGAACTGATCCATGTGGACCCCAACAGGACTTTTAAATGCTAACTCTGTCTGAAGGTAACAGCATAAAGGAACATAGTTTACTTTATTAAACACGAGTAAACCTGCAAAAACCGAAACTGTAAAATCATGTTGCTTTTTCACATACAGTAGAGGCTCAACGGTCACCGAATTATATCCAAATTATCAGGAAAAAGACCACAGAAAGGCAAAACAACCTGTTGTGAGCGTGTTGTTTCGCTGCTACGCTCCACATGCGCATCATGTATGTGATACCCAGAGCTGCTCTACGGAGCAAATACGGAACACGCTCAATACGGATCCTGTATGTTTATGGCTTAAGGGGTCAATCAATGTTTTTTTTGGGACAGTACCGATACTAATGATTGGTTGATATTATTATATATGACATACAATGGATGTATTTACAATATCAGAATTAAAAACAGAAGTAGTAATATACATAAAATTCACTGACTTTGTAATTGGCAGCTGTCATGGTCAACGAGTTTCTAGGCTTTACAGAGAAAATCAGAATATTTTCAGAGATAGACTGGATCCAACCTCCCAAAATTAAGATATTGTTTGATTACATATGTATTTTTATTTATATGTGGCATTATTTTTGTTGTTCCCTGACTATGTTTAACGATGGCTGACATCTTGTTTTGGTCTGTTAAACAATCAGAGGCTGTATCTGAAATCAGCTGACTGACTGTAAAAGGGCAGACAGAATCCAGGACAGCCTGAGACAGATCTCACAGTATAGAAACATAAAACATAGATCTACTTTGAATGGATTCATCGCACTCAGCTTAACTTAGTCACAGTATATATGTGTTTTTTCTGTCTGCAATACTTGAGTGCTTAATTTACACATTTTATTGAACTGGAAAGCAGGAAGAGAGCAGAAAGGCAACGTGTATTAGTAAAGCAGAGGGACAAAGTGAGCGCAGTGTGAGGCTACAGCATTAATGATGGTTATAAGGGGAAAAGTAATTTGGCTACACTCTAATTAAACTATTTAAGTCCAATCAATTATGGAATAAAGCTATAAATTGAAGTCTAAATGTTTCAAAGATAAATTGCTAAATCACTGTTGCAGGCCAAAAAAACAAACGGGGCAAAGGTTTTATCTCAGCTCTGAAACTGCACTAAAGTTTTCAATGAATACTTCTTCAAAGTGTTTTAAAATGTGTCTGGTTGCTATCTATTTTCTTGCAGATCAATCAGTGCATTGCTCTTTAACTAGATGCTGCACGCCTACATTTTAATCTGCAAAAAAATCTATCTTATAATAACTAAAAAAATGTCCTTCAGGGTCTGGAAAATGTCACACCAAAGCTAATGTCTTGCCTGGGAGCAAAGTGAGAATAATAACACACCTTTCACCTGCTTGTATCATCGCTGAAAGACGTCACAGTCTGCCTGGAGTCTCTGGAGGGCGGATCCTGCCTGGCTAAGCTAAAGAATCTTTCTCTCTCTCTCCTCTAATCTAGTCTTTTCTGGGTTTGGTTACATTTTCTGTCCTCTTTTTTTTTTTTTTTTTTGCTGCAGCACACAGCAAATCTCTCACTTGCTCATGCACCTCAGGCGCCACCCATAACTCCACTGCTTTCAGTTTTCTTCAGCCTTTCATTTAAGATGCATTTGGGTTAAGATAAACGTTTCAAATCTCTTTGTGTCCTCCCATAAGCCAGGTTGGGACAATGCAGCCTTTCAAAACAAGCTTAAGACCTCTTTCTCTACAGAAGCACCTTGAGGGGGAATGTGACACTGATGGTGAAAACACAAAGGGAAGCATGATGCAAATACAATGTCCAGTGCTGGAAAACACAGGTGTGCAAGACAAAACAGAGGAGTGTGTGTAAATGTCAGAGCTGGCTGAAGGTAATGATATTAACTTACATCCTGGAGTGTTTTCACATGTGTGTGCCTTCAGGGTTAGGTGAGGCTCTCTCTCTCTCTCTAGTCTAGCAGGTGTATTAGTGACAAACAGAGCCCCCTTGTTGTTGCTGGAGTGACATCCTATAGCTTGTTTACTCCCTAGCCAGTCTGGGCCTTGAAAGCCAAAATTTTTAAGTCTGTCTACTCAGGAAACATGAGTGTGACAGCTTATTGTCCCATCCCTGAGAGCAACAGATCCTGTCCATTGTCACTGCAGAGGTGTGAACACATTTAGTCAAGGCTGCTGATATGTAAATGACACTGGTTGAGCACCGTTTACCATCTGTCAGAGGGAGATTCTGCCTGCAGGCATTGCTTCAAACTTCAACCTTCGACTGCAATGTGATGTAACCACCCAAATACACTCAGAGAAGACTAAAAATGATGGAGAGAATTTGGACTGACTTTACCTCCACATATGGAACAACTTTGCAGGTGAATTCTCCCAGCAGCCAGGACTTGGTCAGCTCATGGAACACCACCATAGGCAGGCAGAAGAGGATGAGCACAAAATCCCACACAGCCAAATTAGCCAGCAGAGAGTTGGAGATGCTCTTCATGTAGTAGTTCTGACACACGATGCACAGGATGGCGATGTTGCCCGCTATCCCAACCAGGAATATCACCCCGGAGACGCACGTGATCGCGTACGCGCCGTAAGTCTCGCTCGTTACCGGGTAGAAGGGGTTCTTGATCTCGTCTCCAAAGTCCTGCGAGTTTGGAGGGGTAATCGGCGTGGCGTCCCAGGGGTTCTCCTCCCTGAACGTGAAGAACTCAGGCCTCCTGGTGAAGAGGTCAAAGGGCAGGTCGGTGGAGGTGAGGGCCACCGGCTTGGGGATGGGTTCCCACGGCGACGCGTGAGGTTGAGCCAAAGCTGCCGCGCTTTTATTCTGGCGGTTTCTCCCCCACCTCCTCCAGGCTTTCTTCTGCTCGTCTTTTGTGCCCCTCTTGTGCCGGTCACCCTCATCGGGTCCCCCTCCTTCGTCCACCCTTCCCATTGAAGAGGGCTTAGCCGCATTGTAGTGTCCACCTGCTGGCGTCCCCGTGCCATTCAACTTTATCCTCCTATTATGGTGGCGCGTCGGGCCCCAATGTGAGCCCGCGTTGGGATCCTCCACGGGTGTCACAGCCCGGCTGAAGTCGCGTTTGTTGTGTCCAATCCGCCACGTTTCTTCTGACATCACCCTCTTCCAGGGGTGAGTGGAGTTAAGAGTCCCCCGGATAATCGCGCCCTCCGCCGGGGACGCACCTGTGGCGTAGCCCGGCGAGAGCGCACGGTCCCGGGCTTTGTTTTGATGACTCTCCCGGAGTGACCCATGCAAACTCCTGGAAGAGTATGTGCTGCTGTTGCTCCGTGCTTCCCCATAATATATCAGGGATAGTATTACATATGCATGGGGTACACACACAAATAACGTCCTAGGGTGCAGAATCTGCATGATCCAGGAATTATTGCGCGCAGTTTTAATCCTCACAAGTGCATCCTTATAGCTCAGTCAACACCCATGTTTGAGGCAGTAAGGACGGGGGTCTCAGTCTTGCAAGTAAGCAGCTGCATTCATGATCTGAGCTCTGCAAACTTGTATCCTAATTCCTCGCTGTGCACTATGCAGTAGTGACAAAAAAACGCCCCCTCCTCGAAGAGTCACTGTAGCTTCTAAAGTCTTGACATCACCGAGCAGGACAGCAAATCCACGCAGAAAGAAGCAGAGAGAGGGGGAGAGGGAGATGCTGCATGTCCAGACGCAGATTCCGCACAGCGCCCTGCTTCCAGCATTCTAAAAAGACGACTCTTCCTGCCTCTGTTTGCGTTAGTTTGGTGGGTTGGGTCGCAGCAGCAGCAGCAGCGTCAATGCGGTGCAGTCCGGGTAAAGCCCACTATGTTGTGATGCACGGGAGAGTAAAGAGAGAGAGAGAGAGGGAGAGAGAGAAAGAGAGAGAGAGAGAGAGAGAGAGAGAGAGAGAGGAGGGGTGGAGATGGGTCTGCTTCTCGTCCCTTCCTCCCTCCGCGTCCAGCGTCTTCTACCTCCTTCTCTTTGAAGACCGTGCGCTGGAAGAAAATGGTGCTCCCCTGGCGGCTAACCCCGATCTGTCACTCCTCATCCATCACGGAGCATCCAGTAGCCCCCCGGAGCAGACTATACGGCTACAGTCTCTCCACGCCTCTAGGCAGACAAGCCAGCCACGCCCGACAGACGTGCTAATAAATATATTACCAAGCTTTGAGTTTTTTACGCACAGGCGGCGCTGTGATATCCACAGACTTGGACAAAATTGTGCCATTTCATCATCTTATCCGGTAACTTGGAAATAAAACCGACAGAAGGGAGAGATAGATTTGTTAACAGCTTTGACAGTCGCTCTGAATAACTACACTGCATAACTAGATTCGATTTACCCTCAAGGCAGATTCTCATTTGTGTTAAGATACTATTTTTTGGACTCCAAGTTAGATCAGATGCTGACTTATTATCAGTGATGTTTTAGATTGTGCTGTTACTGTGACTATTATTAATCATTGTCCAGCTGTTAGAATTTCATTTACTTTAAAACTCCATCTTGCTCATTTTGCAAGGCAATGCCATCCCTACAAGTGATCTCCACCTGGTTTATGATTTATCCAAACTGCAGGGGAAACTGATCAGGATAGGCTGCTTGTTGTCAAACTGCTTGCATCAATAACTGCATCAAATCTCCATAACATTTGCTCTTTAGAGAAAGAGAGGAACTTGAAGAATTTAAGAAGCCTTTCTCAGAGATATCTAAGAGGCAATCTAAATCCTGTAATCTTTTCAAATTGATTTTAAATGAAATGAAACAGCAGTACATGTGAAATGGTTTTCAAACGATCCTTTTAGACTCTACAGTACAAGAAAAGCCTGTGATGTTTGGCTGGATTTCTCAAAATTGCAATGACAATATGTCCCGTGATGACTGAAGGGGTATTAAAGTTCCCGTATGTGAGTTTTAAACTGGTTATGACTTCAAAAACACCAGCGACAAGATTAAATATATCATTTCTAATGCATGTAAACGCTGCTGCAGGGTAGGTGTCAGCGTTTTACACTTAACAATTTCACTGCATATATTTGGCTGTCAAAAGACAGTCTGCAAGGGGACATCAGAAACAGCAAAAGCCCAAAGTGTACATACGATAAACTGAGACTTTAATTTCAGTGCCTTCCTGATGTTAGACTGTTTTACAGGGTAAATGTGATTGTAGAAAATCATCTCTCCTGTTCGAAAAGAGCTGAAGTATTGTTCTTCCTTCAACTTAATTTGTCTCTTTCTTCTTGGACATGGTGTTAAATAAATGCACATCTATGTGAATGTTTTTTTCTTTTTGTTACTCGGGTCATCTTTTGTAGTGTTTGTACTGGCATGTTTAAGTATGAGAAAAGACTCAATAAGGAACTTTTGTCTCCACTCAGTGCAGCCAGACCTCCGAGATCATTTCCATACAAAACACATCAAAACAACACAATACCATACAAGAAAGCATGATACAAAGCCAAACACTATGAAAATCCAAATTGTGAAATAACCTAAACAATAATGGACAATACCAACTCAACTGTAACTGGACTGTTCTTATAAGATAGTTACAGAATATTGTGCCAAGTCTTTAATGTCCTCTCGTTTTAACACAACGAGTGTTTACAAATACCTACAAATATGCTTTTGCAATTAAGATGTACTGAAGAAACATCAGCTAGTTGGAGCCGCAGCTTGCACTACTGCAGATAAAATAGGCATCGTTCAGGTTTAAAACTGCAGAAAGTTTGAATTTAGAGTTGTTATTGTTTATTTGGGTATTTTAACAATACTGATTTCTCTTTGAATTTTTATTGGCATCCTTACAAGAACTACCCCACTGAGCATTTTTTGGTCTAAACGAAGTCTAATAGACGTCTCAATGTAGCCTAGACAACTGGTCTAAAATCAGGCTACCACAGGTCTAAAAATGAAACTTTTTTAGATGTCTAAATTAACACGAAGTTTAGACCAAGTCTAAATCTGGGCTATATCTATACTACACTGTATATTGCTCAAGTCAACGGCTATCATATTTACTTTGGTTAAGTACTTGGGGATCAGTTATGCAACTCACAGCTGCTCTTTGAAATAAATAGTTAGCGAATAATGGGTTAGAGTGCAAAGTCTAAATTCCATCTAAAAAAAATACAGAATCTAGACGGTTGAAATCAAGTCTAAAAAAAGACGTCTAATAGCCGTTGATTGCTCAGTGGGACATCTGGTAGAATACACTGCAGCCGGACCTCAGTGCTGGCTGTAAAGTAAGCATTATATACATGTCCACCACCTTTCCACTATCATCCTTTAATCTTTCACAAGATTTTGTCTCTAAACTCTGCACCGTCTCAATGGCATACTATAGAACTTTTATCTTCACTCAGCACAGCCAGACCTCTTAGATCACTAGATCAAGGCCAGTTGAGGCGGTGCTTTGTGTCTCCAGAAAAGTCTTTCTCATAACTGAAGGCCAGATTGGTATTTTGATTCCTTTAGAAGAAGAGGCCCGTAGACCCGCTTTCATGTTGAGTATTAAGAGGTTTTTGGCAACAGTGATTAACTACAAACATAAATCACAACCAGTAGTGTTTGTCCAGCAGCTTTGTTAATAATTCAAGAGCCTCTCAGGAGTAAATGAAATGAGCACATTATGTCTCAAGTGTTCAGTGTGCTGTAAATGGACCTTCCACATAGACCACATGATCCAGCAATCATAAACACTCAAGTCTAGAAAGTCTAGAAACAGTGGGATATATGCTAACTGTAAGGTCAAGACAACACTGATGCTTTTAGAAACAGATTTCTGTATGAGCTGCACAAACACAAATGAAGCCACGCCTACTTGTGTATTTGTGTGTTTTCCAAAAAACATATGCAGCAGCTGAAAGAGACACACACAAACACACACACACAGGGGGTGAGAGAATTGGCAAACATTATCGGGCAGCTAGCTGATGACCTTCTACATCAAATAGGTGGATGGAGCCAATTCCGACCGGGGAGGCGTGCACAACACACGCACACACACACATACATATACACACACACACACACACACACACACACACACACACACACACACACACACACACACACGCACACACACACACACACACACATACACACATACACACATACACACATACACATTCCTGTACAGCCAAGTTTCACCAGGGAATTTGGAGTACTGAAAGAAGATAACTTGAGTTACCCGTGCCAAAATCTTCCTCTGGACCCTCCTTAAAGGAAAGTAGTTCTGCATGTCAGGCACTAAGAAACTACCCAGAATGCTCTTGGTGACTGAAATATACTTAAATAACCCCTGTAGCAAGGATAAGAGATTTTTCATTCACTGGTTCCTTATAAGTTCACCTCAGCTTTCCTTTTCAGTTTACATTTTTCCAGTGAATTGATGTAAAAGAGTGGAATTGACGAACCCGACAGCCCTACTCACTCAACAGATGTCCACAGGTAAATCATCTGTATTACACCCTGCATCTGACCTTGAAAATACCACCACAGTAACTTCCAGCACCATCCTAATCAGCTGTGAAGGCACAGAGCAACACTTCACATGTAATTATCATGTCTACTGAGTGTATCTGTGTGTGTGTGTGTGGTCCCATGGTGACTCTGCTGCTCGTCGTTGGTGTGTGTGTGTGTGGGTGGAGATAAAAGAAGAGAGGTTTTTCCCTCTCGCAGATGTACTCATGCATTGAAACACTCCACAGTTCAGACACAGAGGGACATCAAGGGCACACACCATGCCTGTACACACATGAAGCACAAATAATGGTGGGAGAGTGCACATACACAGCATGACTCACGCATGTGCGCACACACGCGCACACGAGGACAGATGCGTACACAGGGCAAGGTTACTAGGGCATGGAGGCAGAAAGAGGATCATGCCAGCACCATGAAGCCTTCAAGACCTCACTGTATGTGTGGAAAATCAGCCATGATCACACAGATACACACAAAAATTTGAGACTGAGACACACACACATGGGCATCCCTATGACTTGCGCATTCACACAGACCAAGAGAGAGAAGGAGGGATAGCAGATGAGCAAAGGCAGGTCTGTGAGGTAAAGTGGCATCAAAAAGTCCATACAACCCATGCCTTGCTTGTACAACACTGTATAAAACAATACAGTGCAATAAAATGTAACACTATAGTTATGATACTATACAACAGTTACCATCTGATATGGTACAATATGAAACCATACATTTGCATAAGGCATGGTACAGTGAGATCAGGTTTGGTCAGCCATGGCTGATTAGATACCATATTATTTGACACCGTATGATTCAACAGAGTATGATACAATTTACAGGAAAACACTATGGCCAAACAACAATCGACATCACAACCTCAAACATCAAAAGTTCAGTGAAAAAATGCACAAATATCAAACAGCCAAAGGGAGATGAGTGGAAAGACAAATTGATAATCTTAATCTGGATTTGACGTGTCATTTATCATGACACGAGGCCAGTTTCCCTGGACTGAAAAATATCATGAAAAAACAGGTTTGTGTTGCTCTTTGCAGGTTTCAAACTGCATATTAGGGCATCATTCATTTCTACAAGTAGTCTAAGAAGTCAAAGTTAGTTTAGCCTGCAGATGTTCTCCTATAAACAAGCACTCACTTCTGTATCTCCTCTGTTTTTGTATCCATCCATTTCTATCATGTTTCGTATAGGATTAACTAACCTGTAAATACAACACAAGGCACAGCACAAATTCACCCCTAATTGCACTCTCTTCGTTTCTATTTTCACATTTGGTTTTCTATCAATCCTCAGATCTCTGCCTCTAATCCATCCCCAGTTTAAACACCAAACAAAAGCTGATTGCACCTTCGCTGTATTCGCCTCAGCTCACTGAAACACACCTCTACAAATCGCCAATTCTCCTTAATCTTGTCAGGGGAGTCGGATTTCACTGTCATTCTGCTGTTTTCCAGCATTCAACATCGCAGGCATATCAATGAGCTTTCTCAATTTATATTTCTGTCTCACCAAAAATTCATTAAATCTGCCGTGGAGCCTGATGAGCCTTTGAAAACACTGCTCACAATCCAACACAATCATCTCCCTTGTTCTAAGAGCTTTTCACCCACAGTCATTGTTATCTTTGAGGCTTTGTCGCTCTGTGATGAATAGAATTAGCTCCAATAGTGTCAGCACATCTTTGAGAGGATCCTGCCAGACTGGAGGTATGGAAAACAGATGACTTACTCAAAGCGAGGGGGTTTCTAAATGAAGATGCCAGTGTGCAGTACAATGCTGCCATCTGATGGTTTCTGACTGAATAGCAAAAACACAGACAATATTTTAAAAATGGATCCTGAAATCTCTCATATCTGCTGATCTTTATTCACCAATATACTAATACTAATACTGTAGCCTTGTGCCTCTCCTAAGATCTCCAGCCCTTGACTCCAAGTTGGGAACCAGAGGCTTACGCAACATACAGTGTTTTCCCTTTCTATGGGTGAACGTACTGTAACACTTCAATTAGTAGCCCAAGTTTTTCAGTTTAAA